TTGTGTGGGTGATATTCAATCTGTGATATCACTTCACTGCTGGGTTGGTTTATCAGTTTCTGGAAGCACGTGATTTATCCACGAGGTTCTATCATCAAAAAGGTATGATCTAAACATTTTATCCGCTGCATGTTTTGTGTTTTGATTTACATTGGTATCAGAGCATAGTTAATGGATATTTTCGTGTTTCCTTTAATCATGTGTACACTTTTATATGTATTTGTATACATTATACACATGAATATTTGTAGAGGAGAAATTTTTTTTTTTATCAGATTAGGAGCATAAATATATTTTTTTATGTTCATTAATGTCTTTTTTCATACCATAAATAGTTTTATTTTGAAAAAAGGAGTCCGGCAGTACAAAAATCGGACCAGAAAACACCCTGGAAGGCGGCGCGTGGTCTGCACGCGCCACCTGACGCCGTGGGCCGTTTCCACGCGCCTCCACGCGCAGCCACGCGCCTCCACGCGCCAGCTGCTCAACCGACGCGCTTGCACGCGCTCTCACGCGCGCGTCAGCGGCGCAGCCACGCGCGCGCCCTCCGCGCCACGCACGCGCGCCGTGGGCTGAGCCGCGCGCCGAGCCGCGCGCTGAGCCGTGAGCCGAGCCGTGAGCCGAGCCTCGAGCCGAGCCGCGCGCTGAGCCGCGAGCCGAGCCAAGAGCCGAGCCGCGATCTGGGCCGCGTGCTGAGCCGCGCCGTTTTCCTCGGCTGGCTTGGCTGCTGGCGATTAGGCACTGTTTGTTTTGTTTTTAATTCTGAACTGCGTTAAATGATCATAATTAATTCATTACATATTTGTTTTATGCGTGGCTTATACTGTTAGACTCAGAATTAATTTTTCTACATTCTGTAAAATTTTGAAAATTTTCAGAAAATATAAATTATTTTTCCTGTGTTAATAATTCATTTTTTATGCTTTAAAATGATTCTGGTATTGCATAAATAATTTTCTGGGGCTGAAATATTTATTGTAGACTTCTGAAAGGTTTTATTATTTACTGGTAATATTGTCTCATTTTATCAGTTTAGGGTGAGTTTGGAATCCAATTAAAAAAATTATTTGCTCGGTTAAAATTTTTCAAAAATACTTTTCAAAAAATTTTACTTTCTTGCTTTCCGTGTTTTTTTTTTTTATTTTTACTGAATTTTTTTAATATTTTAAGCAATTTTTTTTTAATTTTTAGAAATGGTCGTTGGATGTGCAACGACTTATTTCAACCTACATATATATATATGAAAACACACAGAATATAAAGTAGCGTGTTCTCATAATTTTGAAATTGCCGTGTCCCGTGTCTGTGTCCATGTCCGTTTCCGCATTCGTGTCTGTGTCCGTGTCAACGCTTCTTAGCTACCACCCAATCAACCATCTCTAAAGTAGACCCATCTGTGTGTGTGTGTGTGTGTCTATCTCTGTCCATAACCCATTGCCATGCAAACCATCACAGACCACAATTTATAACCTACAGACAGCCCCGCCATAATAGTCTAATAGCTAATCCTGTTCAAATATATTTTGCCTCGTATCAAGCTACTTCTATTGGGAATTAGATTATATTAATTTCACCCTTGGGAGGATAGGTTGTCTTACATGGGATGAGATTTCTGATGCCCGCTTTGAGTGTTCTATGTCCACAATAATCAAAAGATTATAACCATCTTGATACACTGACATATTTTGATGGTTGTTCTTCTTGTTGTAGGAGCACGGTTCAAGTTCAGAGTGAGAAGAGCTGATATACTTCCAAAGACAGAATTACATAATAAATGACAAGTGGAATATGTACCAAATTTGGCGCGACATTTCAGGTTGGCCTACTGACCTACAGTTTGTTGTGAAACACCATTCAGTCATGTTTCTCTCTTCTGCTTTCATCTGCATTGTGCCGAGGAACTACCCAAGATGTTTCCAATACAACTGCACAGACTATTCCAGTCTGCTGTGAGTTTTATTTTCATTCACTAATGCCAATTGGCTTTATATGTTGTAAGAAATAGAAAAAGGACAACTGCTAGTATTCTCGGATCTCATAGACTACTTTTCTCAAAATGCTGTCTAACAATAATTTATAGAATTCAAGGGGTTTTGGTTTGGCATAGAACAAGTACTGCTCACGATCGCCTTCTTGTATACAATTTGCCCTCAAAATACATGGTCCTGAAGTTATGTTGAAACAACATTGTTCAGATTGATTTTTTAAGTAGTTGAATCTTTGTCCATGATGACTCAAATTCTCGTTGCCAGAGGCTGCTTTTTCCTTTTAAGATAATGGAGGTTCATGGGCTGCCGAAGATTTATATTTTATTTTATTATTATAATGTATTACATACTAATGAGTCACAATAACAATATATGTCATTATTACAAAGAAAATTGCCACCCAAGATTGATCATAAAGGTTCAAGAGACATCTACCTTTTGAACGCGGCAAAGCTAGTAGTGTTGGTGAGATATGCTGGCTAGTAGTAGTTGTATTGTGCCAGGTTGATTCAGCAGCCCTCAAACTGCCAATCTTGAAACTTGGCAGTTGGTTGAAGATGGCAGTTTCGAACCAGCTGGATGGGTGAGTTGGATTTTTTTGGCTTTGTGAATTTGATTACACTAGAATTTTGGCCTTAATTTAAATAAAGAAAAAATCAAAGTGCAAAGCACACCAGTAGTCGCTTTATTAGGAAAAATTTGTCCAAAATCCCTCCCTTGAGCCATTCTTTGTTGAAAGGAACACTAAAACAATTTTTATTGTGTAAAGTCCATTAAGATAGATTTTTCTTTCAAAGACACCAATATTGTACAGGTGCATTTTTATTGACAAATTTACCTTTTTAGTTGAATTCAGTAAACATTTCTGCACAAACAAACATGATCTCTTCTTCTTCTTCTTCTTCTTCTTC